ACAAAGGCGGGACGAGTATAAAGATCTACAGGTTATGGTCTATTCGGTTTTAATCTACACCATAACGTTGTTGTTGTTGGAAACACCGAAAACAAATTTTGGCAATAAGTCAAATGGGCTTTTTCATCTGCTTTTGCAATAGACTAGAACTTTGTCTCACAGCCTGTCTCACAATTCCCCCTAACCGTCGGTCGCTCATTCCGCGGCGTTGGTCCTGCGTCCCAACCCTTGGGTTTCAGGATCAGTCGTGTCTCCCATTTCTTCCTCTCCAATTAATCCTTTCGTACCACTTGACTTTAACTGCCTGCTTATTATTATTCGCATATCCAAAGCTCTGCCACTCTTTCTTATACGACTTGCAAGCGGTAGGTTGTTGTGACAGCATCGTCGTTGCTAGTACCATGAACTTAAGTACTTATGCGAACAGCAGCCGCAGCTGTCTTCCTATCCTGTGTCAAGTTAGACATTGTGGAACGCCGCAAGTCATACAAGGAACTGACGAACGTCGTTGTGCAGTACGACGATAACCAGCGTTTGCTGTCTTCTCTACCCCTCCTCGTACCTCCAATCACGTTTTTTTCGTTCTCTTTTATTCTCTTTCAGTGTCCGTTTCTGTCGCAAGTCATCAGCGGTGCAAAAGTATAAGCAGGAAAGTCGCGAGGGGGACCTTTCGTTCTCCTCGGATCTGTCTTTTCGTCTGCTGTCATTGCAGTGCTCCTTTTACGCTCCGTTCTATTTTTTTTTTGTTAGGACTGGACGCTCGGTTGTTGGCGCACCACCGGCCACATCGGCAGTCTCCGACCACTCAACTGGCATCGGCTGTCTCCCTGCGGCCATTGTTATGGGGGGCAAGCTTGCCAGCTACCCGGCAAGTCTAGCGGCCAGAGTGGCCTTGCAGAATTGAACCATCGAGCGTCAGCTAAGGCGAACAAGTACCAACGAAAGAAAAAGTAGGGCTGAACAGAACGTCGAGGGGCTGTAGGGAATACTACTACTAGGGGCTACTCAATTATGAGTAGCTACAACAACATTAATGTAGTCAACTGGAGCTACAAGTCGAATTTTCGGCCGAAAGTCAATATGTGCGTGTTACAGCACCAGATGCACGCCTTTAGCTTTGCTTTTGTAATTACTAAAGGCAACTCGTGATATCGAAGAAAATCCATGTTTGCATCCACGCAGCAGGTCTGGGATGACATGAACAGAAGCGCAGGGAATAGTGATATCTAGTGTGATCTAGGCTTATCCTTATCCAGCCAAACTACCTACCCTTAGTTTAACAAAAGGTTTTCTCACGAAGCCCACCTCCGATAAAAGCTCCCTTATATAAAGACTTCTTGAAGCAAGTTAGTATTGTCATATAAAGGAAGTTAATTTATATAAAATCATTTATATAACCAAACGTTTAAAACCGTAATAATGAAGTAATGCTTACGGACCTTTCTTTGAAGTTTTGTTCGGCTCTTGTTGGAAATCTTACCTACGCACCCGAAATTCGTGTTTATTAACTTTTTTCCATCTCTAAATAGACGAAGTATATATTTAATACAGCGTTGATTTTGCATCTTCCTAGAACCTCTAGTCTTTTTCTTTTCACAGTTAATTTAGACCTAAAACGCGGATGTTCATTTAATAGTACTGCAGACTGCCTGGAAGACCATGGTCTTTGAATAGTTAACCGGTGATATCTCTTGTTAAGAAATCTCTCACTTTTCGAAAAGTACCAATTTATGCACAAGTTGATTACTCGAAGAGATATGTATTTCTTTTCTTTTGGTGACCCGGTAAGCTTGCAATAGGCTAAGTGATGTGGAGGAATAAGTCCTAACTTCTCGACACACAAAATAGGTCTCAAACGCAAATAACAATTTATTCATTTATTTTGTTCAGGAACGGTCTGGAAACCGAACAGGTTATGACAACGAACGTAATGCATAGAATTCCGTTGGGTGTGACACTTTACTTTTGTAAACTATTAAAATCGACTTCTAGAGTTAACTATTCAAAAGCCTCTTATTCGGCCTTTTTTGCAGATCTGGGCCTGCACAATGTCACCGTGCATCTGGTATACTGGACGAAGTGCAAATATGTAATATCAACGGCACAATTGCTTTTTCGTCTGTCGCGTGCAAGTTGCGTGTAATATTCCTGGAGTATATTAGTTACAGGCGTTGCAACCGTTTTTGTTCTATATTCAGATGCCGTCGTTTTCCTCAACTTAAGGATTTATCATGTGATCATAATGTATATATTACGAGTGCAATCATATTTACCCAAGTCGTACGAAACAGCTAGAACAAAGCGGTTAAATAACAAATATTTTTGATCAGCGGTGAAGAAAACTCAATTGGGATATAATCGAACTCGGGATCTCAGAATGAAATTTCATAGAAATCTGTGGGAACTGCCTAAAATTCACAAATGGTTATGTCGATGTAATTGAACTTTCCGTGTTTGCTTTATCATAGTTTACATAAGAATGCAGTTTACATAACATGTCTTTAAACCTCATTCTTTGTTCTCTATCATATACACCTGGGAGACCTGCCCACCCACACAATTCTCTACTCCATTTTTAAGTTATAGACTGGACCAAAGCACAGTTAGTGGCGAAATTCAGCGAAACATTTGACATGCTGTGATGCTTTCTTTTAGATAGGGATGCTAGCGGATATTCTGACGATTACACTTTTCTAATTACTGCGAAAATAATGCATTCTATTTAGGAACGAAAATCGTTTCCTTGGTGTGCAGAAATTACAACAGAGCTGATCGACACATTGCCACCTTTAAACTAGCTAGACAGGAAGTCCATTTTTATAGACACTTCCTGCACAGACAAGCCATTTGCACTAACTTGTTACTTGAACCATCATCCCTATCAAAGCTTATCGTCGAAGTTACTCTGAAAAAACAAAGATAACTACTAAAATAAATGCAACATTATTTTATCCATGTTAATGTGTCCCCCGCCACAGTAACAAAATACACATTTATTTGTATACATCATATGTACAGTAGCTTCTCTCGATTTCCTTTATGCTTTTCATTATCGTTTATCATCACCCACCGTCTCTTTTACATCTTTTCCCTCTTCGTCGCTTTTCTTCGAGTTTTTCTCACCACCACACCAATGACTAAAACAACAATATATCATACATATTTACAACCATAGCTATAATTATTCTCGTAATTAGATTATTTTTAGGTCCTTATTAGTGTTCGTTTTATTTTTTACTATAATCATCATAATTACGATTTCTCGTGGCGTTTTACTTCTTTCTCCTCATAGTTCCGCCGTTATTCGATACAGCCTTTTGTTGCAAGTACTATTACTCTTCACTTAGACACAATAATTTATATATATATATATATATATATATATATATATATAGCTTCTTAATCTAATTTCGTTACCTCCACTTGCTCGCTCACTCATTCATCCTTTCTGCCTCCGTCACGTACGTACTTAAATCTGAATTCTTAAACAAAGATTTTACTCAGACTTACGCTACTGCCCCAGGCAGATTCTGTGAGTGTTACCCTTCTCTTCACTCACGTCTGAACTGGCGAAATCAATTAACAAGGATTCCTTATGGTTGCCATTCCACAGTGGGTCGCTCATATTACCGTTTCACTATTCTCATATGATTTCTTACCTGCGTATTGATTTTGTGAAGTGAATTGCTGTTTAATTAATTATTCATGTAATAAATTTTTACTGTTAGCCTATTTTCACCGTCAAATAAAATATGGTGTAACAATGGTTGATTGACCATCCATTTTTCTAACATCATATCGTTTTTATCTCGAAGAATTACGATATTTTTTGACATTCGCCGGTGCTAACCTTTCGCTTTCCTTTGCCGTCCGCTAGCGATTTCTATCGCTATTTTGATTACAGTTTTGCGTGACGATAACGAGCTCAACTAACTAATAGGTCAAGAATCATCCTGAAATAAAGCCAGCTACTTCGAGACGCAGTTAAAATCAAACTTCTACAAGCACACACATGCTTATGATATAACAATTGAACTACTAAGGTATTGTATAATATGAGAGTGGCTGGTAATCGATTTGGAAGCTATTTTTCTACCCGCTTCACTTTTATATTTGACTATATCGGTAGAGGTGGCTCTGAACTTTTCCACAAGTGGTAGAAATGGGCTTCGGCGCACATCCTACATCCGATTGAATTATGCCGTTCGTATCATTGGGGTTAGGTACACTAACTTAGTGTTAAGTCGAACAAATTGATTTCTGCCATTTTCCCTAGAACTAATCTACGATTCTTTCAGTCAAAAAGCTTTATCTTTTTTAACTGAATACGATGTCGTAAATCGTCGTGTCAGTCCAATCAGTTCATCACTTTTACTCTAACCAACCTACACCGAGCTGGCTCCGATTTCGGCACCTTGACAACATGACGATAGAGATTATATTTTTCACCTTTATCAATAAATTGCTTGTTGATACGATCAGGGCATGTATACTCTATTCGTCGTCTACATGTGTGTGTGTAGGTGGGTGTATGTGTGGGTTGGGGTGTGTGTGTGTGTGTGTGTGTGTTTGTGCATGTGTCTGTTTGTGCGAGTGCGTGCTTGTGCGTCTTTGGGTGTGGGTGTGTGTGTGTGTGCTTGTGCGTGTATGTGGGTGTGTGTGGGTGCGTGTATGTGGGTGTGTGTGTGGGTGTGTATGGGTGTGGGTGCGGGTGTGTGTGGGTGTGGGTATGGGTATGTGTGGTTGTGGGTATG